AGGGGAGAGAGAAGGGGGAGGAGGGCTGTGAACAAGATATGCTTTTCTCAGGAACAATCCCAATGACCTACTTCCACCAACTAGATTCCACCTCCACCATCTCCCAATACTGCTGTCATATTACAAACACATCAAGCAATTAATCCATTGATTTGAGTCAGAGTCCTCATGATCTGATCCCATCTTAATGACTGGATCCACCAGCTGGGGACCAAATAACAACACATGAGGCTTTTGGGGGACTCTTCATATCCAAACCATAACACTTCTATGCAAAATGACCTCTAGATTCAGTGCAATTTCTTGTCAGAATTCCAGTCTGACACTTTGATGAAAATAACACAGTAAGTGTAAACATTCATATGGAAATACAAGATATTCCAAAAACCTAAAACAATCTTAAGAATACATAAAGATGGATAATTCACATTTCTCACCCAACAAAGTGACAATAATCAAGAAATGTGGTACTAGCATAAAAATCAAAGTATACTTTGATGGAACTGAACACAAGGTCCAGAAATAAGCCCTTACACTCAGGCTCAATTCATTTTTGACAGGCATGTCAGGACAGAATAACACATAAAAATAGTATTTTCAACAAATGGCACAAATACATAGTCACATAAAAAGAATGTAGGATGGACCCCTTCCCATAATATATACAAAAAGTAATCAAAGTGACTCAAGGAGCTAAATGTAAAACTACTAAGTGCCTAGAAAAAAAAGAGTGACAAAATCTTCTAGGTTTTAGATTAGGGCATGCTCTCTCAGATATAATGACAAAGCATAAGAAACAAAAGACAAACAGATAAATAAGACTTCTCCAACACTAAGAATATTTGTGCTTCAAATGATACAAATCAAGTAAATAAAAAGACAATAGAAAGAATGGAGCAAAATATTTGCAAATTCTTTATCTTCATGCAGAATAAGAAATTCAAAACCTCAACAATAAAAAGACAATCCAAATTTAATATAGGCAAAGGATCTGAATGGACAATTATCCACTGAAGATATAAAAACAGACAGTAAACACATAGGAGTTGCTCAAAACCATTATTCTTCAGAGAAATCCAAATGTAACAGCCACCGTGGAAAACAGTCGAGTATAATCACAAAAACTTAAACATACATTGTCACATTACCCAACAACGTTACTCTTTGGTACACACCCTTAAGATCTGAAAACATATACATAGAAAAACATTAGCACAAACATTTAAAGCACCATTAGCCATTATACTATAAAAGAATTCAGATACCCGTGAAATGATGAACAGATAAACAAATGATACCATATCTTACAATGCAGTATTAGTCACTCATGGAAGTGACTCACGAAGATACATGCTTCGTGTAACATGAATATTGAAAAAAATATACCAGATGAATGAACTTGAACACACAAAAAAATATGTATAATTCTATTACTATCAAATTTCCAGATAAGCATGAATGCACCAAGTTGACCAGTGTTGATTTGAGTATTCGTTTTAAATTTCACACATCATGTATAAGGAAAGGAAGAAATTAAAAGTAAACTATAATATGTTTTGCATGTTGTATGATCATAGGCCAAAAATAATGCAAAATTATAAAGTAGGTAAGATGTAGTAGTTCTTAAACAATTCAGGAATGAAATTCTCAACGATAACTAGAATTGTTCAGATAAAGAGGACATTCCAGGTAGAAGGAAATTACTAGAAAAAGTAAACCAAATTGAAAACATGAGGTATGTGCTTAGGCCACAGCACAGATTAGGGCAAAAATGAGGCTGTGAAGGTCTTTCATGGACAAATTATGAAGGACTTTGAACACAGTTGTAGGAATTTTGAATAATACCCAAATTTTCCTTTTAAAGAAATATAATGGAAAATATGTTTAGTAAAAAAGTGTGTAAGAAACAAAGATAGCTGCTCACTGAAAGGAAAGTCCAAAAAAGTGTGTTCCTAGCACCCACATCTTCATACATATAATATCCTCTATTAGAAGGATCTAAGACTCCTTGGCAAAACTACTGATCCAAGGTTTGGGATATCTTGTAGTACTAGAAATAAGAAAATGCTAACAACAATTTAGAGACATATTGAAAGAATACAGAATGCAACAGGGACCAGTTCCCATTGACCATTTTGGGGGAAATGTCAAGAGTAAAATATTCCTTGTGGAAATAAATCACAAGCAAAATAAGAATCCTTGAGTGTCTATTAGTAGAAGCCAAAACAAACAAATAGAATTTTTAAGTCTTTCTCTGCTAATAAACATGGATTCAATGACATTTGACAAAATAATAGGCCTGTATTCTCCCAAGATTAAATCATTAGTACTTCGTCTCTCAACTAGCATAGAGGGGAATGCATATTAATAACGCTTTACTTTCTTCAAAGAATTTGGGCCTTTCTATTGCTTTGCAACACTGCAAAAGAAGGATGAAGAAATTTCATGCCATCTAACTTTCACAGGTGGCAATAAGATAATTTGTTTCTCCAGTTATTTATTCTCTTATTTCTTTAATTTTCACCCCCTCCTGGAACAAAGGAAAAATAATGCTTCCTATAATTTGGGATTTTACTTCCCAAATAAGATATTAAAACTTGGTCAACTGTTCTCCTTTTAACCACAACACTACACAAAATGTCATAGACCCACATATTATTAAACAACACTATGCTTTACATTCACACTGAAATAATTCAAAAAACAATAAATTCTGAAATCTGTGGGGTAGCATCTCAATCAACTCATGAACTTTTTTTCTGATCCATCTGCTATGTTTCCTCTATTTCTTTCAATGTGCCTCTAAACTCTTCACAAGCAATGACAAGAATAAAGGAATCCAAAAGGAAGGCATTTCAACTAAGGTTATAACCACTAATGCAGTAAACAACCTGCAATAAGTGACAACTGGAGGACTTTAACAAAAATAGCACAGATTGTTTTTTTTAAATTCTAAGAACTTACAAAACTAACACAAGCCACACTCACCACAAGTTGATAAAATGTAGGGGCAAAGAAAGGTAAGGAAAGGGTGGAGCCATGAAGAGAGGAAACGTGAAAGGAGAGGGCAAAGGAGGCCTGCACACTCAGAGCTCTGATATTCTTCCGGCTGGGCATAATATTTTGCAAAGTAAAACTGACTGAGATGGAAGCTATTTTGCATGGTACAGTGGAAATGGCTAACGAATGAGTGTTGTGGGCTGAATGTGAGTCCCCTGCCTCATCTGCCACCCCTAATGACAGCAGCCACCTGCTGTTTTATTGTCACAGCTGGAGCCAGTTCACACTCTTGGTGCTGAGCTCTGCCCAAGAGCACCAAGCTCTCTCCTCGCCTCATTACTTTGATGAACTTTTTATGGTCAGCACCCATGAAGACCTCATCTAGGACTCTGCACAGACTGGCTTCAGGGAAATCTTTCAGTTACACGAGGTGGTGACACACAGTGACACGGACTGCTTGCGTCTGTCAGCTAATCCAGAAGTCACTGTACTATACTTTTGACACGACAGGGCCTACAACAGGTAAAAATGCCATGAAATTCTCACACTTAATAAGGTTCGTTCTTCAACATTGGGATGCAAAGATCATAGGATACTGCTATAATCAAGTTTTTAATGGTACATGTTATTATAGAAAACCTAATGTACTGTTTATGATTACTGCCATAAAATTAAGATTCTTTTCGGTTTCTATGATTCAAAGTCATAGAAAGAACTTTTTTTCCTTTAGCTTCTAAAGTCAAAACAGATAAAACTGAAGCAGAATTAAATTTTACTTGCTTATACAATATTTCTTTCAATTAAAACTTCCTACTTTTTTAAATAAAAATATACAGCAATGATGTCACTGGACTTCAGATTAAACTTGTATTGTGCAATTATCAGGGTAGAAAAGCTGTTAAAAAAAATGATGTCTTGAATAGCAAATCCCTTCACAAGCTTTTTTCTGGTCAGCTAGTCATATACATACCCAGCAGTCATTAGCAATTTGACTGTATTGCAGAGGAGAGAAAAAAATGACATAATTTTGAAATGTTAGCATCATAAAAAATTGAACTCTTAAAATTTACTGTGAAATTATCGAACAGAATTTTTATTATTTACAAATGTAATTTGTAATTTGAGAGAGAGAGAGAGAGAGAGAGAGAGAGAGAGGTGATAGAGAGATCGTATTAGGGGTCTGGTTTTGTTTTGTGGTGCTAGGTCAAACACAAAGCTTGAAACATGCTAGGCAAGCACTATCCTAGTAAGCCACATGCCAGCCCTTGGGTTTTTAAGCCTTGGCTGTCCGTTAACTCTTGATCCTCCTGCCAAGTCGCCTGCATGCTGGGTTTAAAGGTGTGTGCTAGGACACATCTTAAATGTATGAAATAATTTATTTTATGTTACTTTCTCCTCAAAGCAAATATATGTTATACAACTCGTAGTTCCACTATGAAATTTCCATTCATCATGAATATTCAAAATATCAATATTTTTGTTAAAAGACACAAGAATGAGACCTTTATTAATGTTATTGAGCATGGACTTATGTCAGAGCTTGTTTCAAATAGCAAAAACAGATGCTAAGATTCATTATATAAGTTTACAAAGCTAAGTATTTTTGAATACTTTCATGAATACATAAAATTTAAAAACAATTATTAAAGTCTTCAATTATGAGTAAGTCTTACTTACACATAACTGATATGAAATGTCAAAAACTAATTTCCATGTCACATCATTTTAATTCAACCAGGAGATTTTTTTAGATAGTGATAACGAACAGGTCAACATGAGAGGAGGTGCTCTGTGTGCTCTTACTTCAATTACACTTGGAGGCAAACTGATCACGAGTAAGATGATGCCCACACTCACACAAATATACATGCCATGTGTATAAAGCAGAATCAGATTTTCTGAAATTCTGTCAAGCTTAGACATTTTCTTTAGTGCATGCAAAACTTATAGTTTGTTAAATATTTTTTAAGAAAGAAAAAGCATTCATTAGTTGTACTTACCATTTCTCTCCGAATCAATCACACTGTATAGGTATGAGGACATAGTTTATCACATTTCACAGATTTTACTTTTCTCCAGCAAATAGTTTACAAAATACAATGAATTTATTTTACATTATGAATACTATGTGATGCCTTCAGTAAATGACTGAATGCAAGGTACATTTAGCGAAATGGTGGTGCTATTTTCTATTTAAGTAGGTGAGCAGTAAGTGCTAATGATATGTTTCTCTGTTCATCAAGAACTAAAAGAGAGCGGAAGGAAATGACGAGGTAATCAAGTGAATAAAAAGAACTAAAAATCAGAATTGAAAAGGAAAAAATGTAATATATTTCAGTTAGAATGATGTAGAGATACACAAGGCTGCTGACGTGAGGATGGAGTTAGCAAAGGAGACTCCTTCTACAAGGGTCCTGACCAGAGATGAAAAAAAAAAAAAAGAGTCCAAAGCCAGCAGACATGCAAACTGAGGGATAAACACAGACCAAAACCAGGCAAAACTGCCACCCTCTAAATGCTTACTTGTGCATACCTGGTTTACCATAATCATCCTCTCCACCGGCAGCGTTTTATTATTTTTCCAAAAGGACAGATGGAGAAAATCCACTGAATCAACTAACATAAAACAATTATATGAGTTCTATTGCTAATATCAAACACATACACAAAGACAAGAAACAGATTCAAGCAAAAAAACCACTTTGTCAATTTATTATGTTCTGGAAAGACTATAAGAATTAGAAATATGAACAAAAGAAATCATATTTTGGCTCTACTTAACTGTTATACTTTTCCTAAAACCTTTATTACACCTGATCATGCACAATCATCCTGTGAGATTAGCAATTTTCAGCCTTTTTTCTTCAAGTTGGATGAACATCCATGGAATAGCTTACTTTCAATGACACCATTTAACTAACCACATCAATAATGTATAAATATCCAAAAATATTTGGGTTATTTACACATACTAGGAACATTTTTTCACTAACCAGATAGGTGTAACATTAATGATTCTCCATTAGGTAACCAACTATTGGTGCCTTTTTCAAACTGATTTTCTAACTGTTTTCACAACACAGTATTTGACACCAACTAGAGAACAGAAGGATGACCCACAAGGGTCTGGGTGTGCTCCCGACCATCTCCTCATCTGTTCTCCGAGAAAGAACATCTTGCTTACTTTCAGCATTGCTCAATCACTTTACTTCACAGCTTTACCAGATATGTATGTGTTCTTAAATAATATATTGCTTATTTTGGCTTACTTTTGAGCTTTTCAAAAGTGGTATCAAGCCAGCCTCCGGCAGCTAACACTTACAATCTTAGCTATTCAGGAGGAAGAGATCAGGAGGATTGAGGTTCGAAGTCGGCCTGGGCAAACAGTTTGTGAGACTCAATCTCGAAACAAAACAAAACAAAAAAAGACTGGAGGTTCAAGCAGTCAATCAACTGCCTAGCAAGGTGAGGTCCTGAGTTCAAGCCCCAGTGCCACGAAAAGAAAAAAGGTGTCAAATCTGCAATGGGGGAGGGGGGTTGTAATTCTTAGAAAAAACTATCTAGCTTATTTTTTTAATAGTTTCTTTTGCAAAAAAAATTTCTGTACTGGATCTATTAACTTCAAAGTCTTTTGGTGCAGTCCATATTCTTGTTTTATCACTATGAAAACCTCCCCTAAGTCTAAACCTCAGAAGAGTAAACGTTCTTTCCTTTACTCAACAGTTCCTTTACTCAACAATGGGTACCATCTTTAAGTAGTCACACACACGAAGAGTTTTAGTCTCATATCAAAATGCATTTCAGACTGTTAGAGGAAGTGACTTCTTCCGATGACAGATCAGAACACACAGTGAAAGGGGACTGCTGCAGCCCCAACATGTGTGTGTGTGGTCAAGTGCTGCCCAGACTGGGCAAACTCAACCTAGCTACTTCTCTGCCTGATGTGCCTGAATCACGTTCCAGCGTAATGCCCTTAAGTAGATGATCCTGGGCTGGACTGAGGGAGCAGCTAATGTTTCTCAGGAAACGTGAATTAAAAGAACAAGTGACAGCAATTCATCAGTAATTATCTATTCAGTTGTGTTGGTGTTATGATAGAAGAACCAATTTTACTTATACTACACTTTTCCCTAAAACGCTAGTTCTGAGTCCAAAATCAAACATTTAAAAAGTACTTCCATAAAAACAAAACTCCTGCCAATTTTGTGCAATTCCAGCATTTACGTTCAAAAGGAAAAAGTCAAATTTAAAAATTCGGAACAGGGGGAGAGGGACAGGAGGGCAGGGGGGAGAAATGACCCAAACAATGTATACACATATGAAT